AAAGCTGTATCTTGTATTTTGTTATTATACCATACTTTGTTAATTCAGTTCTTAATATTGAATATTGAATATAAAACTAGATACTTAAACTGCATGTTCTTAAGTGATAAGGTTGATTGGTTTGATGTGGTAATAAAAGTAATACAGTGCTTATAGAAAAACTTGGAAGACACAAAAAAATAGGATGACACACACACAAATCATCCTGTAACTCCTGTTAATAAATTCTGTGAACATTAGGATGTATTTCCTTCCTGTCTTTTCTTAATATTTTATTTTCTTGTTTTACAGTCTGCAACCACGCTATTTGTGAACAACATTCATTTTTACATGTAACTCTTTTTCAAATATCATTTTTCCTTTTTTTAAAAAAGGTGAAAGGCTTTTTTTAATTTTTTTTTTTGAGACGGAGCCTCGCTCTGTCGCCCAGGGTGCAGTGTAGTGGTGCAATCTCGGCTCACTGCAAGCTCCACCTCCTGGGTTCATGCCATTCTCCTGCCTCAGCCTCCCCAGTAGCTGGGACTACAGGCGCCCGCCACCATGCCACCACGCCTGGCTAATTTTTTGTGTCTTTAGTAGAGACGGGGTTTCACCGTGTTAGCCAGGATGGTCTGGATCTCCTAACCTCGTGATCCACCCGCCTCAGCCTCCCAAAGTGCTGGGATTACAGGTGTGAGCCATCGTGCCTAGCAGGTGAAAGGTTTTTTTTTTTTTTTTTCTGGTGAAAGTAATTTGAAATTGTTACTGAAAATTGAGAAATAATCCCAGTCATCTATAATTCCATCACCTAGAGGCAAACATCATTTATAATTTGGTTTATTACCTTCACATATTTTTCTCTGAAAAAAAAATTGAGGCCGGGCGCAGTGGCTCAAGCCTGTAATCCCAGCGCTTTGGGAGGCCGAGACGGGCGGATCACGAGGTCGATCGAGACCATCCTGGCTAACACGGTGAAACCCCGTCTCTACTAAAAAATACAAAAAACTACCCGGGCGAGGCGGTGGGCGCCTGTAGTCCCAGCTACTCGGGAGGCTGAGGCAGGAGAATGGCGTAAACCCGGGAGGCGGAGCTTGCAGCGAGCCGAGATCCGGCCACTGCACTCCAGCCTGGGCGACAGAGCGAGACTCCGTCTCAAAAAAAAAAAAAAAATTTAACATCGTACACCATCATTGTTTTTTAATTAGGGGGTGGTCACGGACCTTTTTAAAAATCTGAAAAAAATCCAAATTAAAAATTCTTTTTGTACCGAGTGGCCAGTTGAAAAGAAATTTTTTTACTTAAAAAAAAAAAAAAGAAAAAAATAGAATTCTTAGTATATACATACATTCATACCCACCATTTTCCCTTAAAAACGTGATAAAGTAAGCATTTCTGTATAATTATGAACTCTTATAAATATGCATGTTTTCTGATTATTGTGCATTGAATTATCTATGTCCTCAAATTCATATGTTGAAGTTCTAATTCCCAGTACCTCAGATTGTGACCTTATTTACAGATGGGATCTCTACAGAGCTGATCAAGCTAAAATGCGGTCAGTAGAGTGAACCTTGATCCAATATGATTGGTGTCTTTATAAAATGAGGAAATTCACCAGGCGCGGTGATACATGCCTGTAGTCCCAACTACTCAGGTGGCTGAGGTGTGAGGATGGCTTGAACCCAGAGGTTCTGGGCAGTAGTGTGCTATGGTGATGGGGTGTCTGCACCAGCATCAATGTGGTGACCTCCCAGGAGTAGGAGCTATGAGGTTGCACAAGGAGGGATGAAGTGACCCAGGTCAGAAAGAGAGCAGGTCAAAACTCCCTTGCTGATCAGTAGTGGGATAGCACCTATGAATAGCCACTGCACTCCAGTCTGGGCAATATAGTGAGACCCTGTCTCTAAAAAAAGAAAATTTAACTGGCCGGGAACGGTGGCTCACGCCTGTAATCCTAGCACTTTGGGAGGCTGAGGCAGGCGGATCACCTGAAGTCAGGAGTTCAAGACCAGCCTGGCCAACATCTCTACTAAAAATACAAAAAATTAGCCAGGCGCGGTGGTGCGCACCTGTAATCCCAGCTGGGGTGGGGATGTAGGGAGGGGGCGGGGCAGTGCTGAGACAGGAGAATTGCTTGAACCTGGGGAGGCGGAGGTTGCGAGGAGCTGAGATTACGCCACTGCACTCCAGCCTGGGCGACAGAGTGAGACTCTGTCTCAAAAAAAAAAGAGAGAAAAAAATTTCATTAAAAATTTATTTTAAAAAGGAGGAAATTTGTGAAGAGACATAGAGAAGATGGCCATTTACAAGCTAAGAAGAGAGGCCTGAACAGATGTTTCCCTCACAGCCCTCGGAAGTAGCCTACCCTGCTGACACCTTTATTTCAGATTTCTAGCCTCCAGAACTGTGAGACAGTAAGTGTCTGTTGTTTAAGCCTCCCAGTTTACATAATGCAGACATTTGGATGAATATTTACTTTGTGCTAGGCATTGCACTAGGTTTAGGAATACTAAGTCAAAGAAGTCAAGTTCTCTGTCTTGAAGGTACCTAGATTGGCATGTGCATAAAGAACCTGGGGTTGTGCAATTTTGGGCAATGAACAGGGCATCATGGGAGCCTAGGTTAGGCGAGGGTCGGGGAAGATTTCCCAGGGAATGCATCACTTGAGTTGAGTTTTGAAGAACCACTAGGAGCTTACTTAACTATTTTTCTGTTGCTGGACACTAGGATGTTTCCGGTTATTCATTTTTGCAAACGAGAACTTTCCTGTGTTTTTGGATTATTTCTTTAGGATAGATTCTCAGCAGCGTACCACTGCTGAGACAAGAATATGAAACTAGAAACATCATGTGAAGGGAGCATAATATTCTACCAGATGGAGTTTTCCTGGCTTATTGAATCATCCTCTTTTATTGGATAGCAGTCCCCTGATGTTCTGTTGCTAGTATTTTGTTATTATAAATAGTGCTGTAGCGTACATTTTTTGCATAAAGCCTTTTTCCATAATCAGAATTATTTCTTTAGTGGTTGAATCATAGAAATAGGAATTACGATGTGAAAAAGGTCTCCTTACTTTTCAAAAATACTGACATATTCTCACTAATAATCAAGTGAAATTTATTAACAGATTAATTTGATTTCTTATAGTCTTTTATATTGTTTGGGGTGTGTTAAAACAGTTTAATACTTCCCTCTTTTGAAAGCTGAAACTTTCCTAGAAAGTAAAGTTTGGTTTGTATCATGTGTGATGAAGAACCCCTTTTCTTTAAGTTCCCCCTCCGCCTAAAAGAAACTTGCTTAACGGGCACAATACTGACACAAACTTGCCCACACAATTTCTGTGCTGGTTTCTCACCAGCTGGTGTGTATATTGCATTGGCCTCTGTTCATACTCTCCTAGATCGTTGTCTGTCTGAAAGGTAACTATCCCAGAAGATCAGCCTTCCAAGTGAGCTATTTCTATTCTATTTTGTGTGTCTTTCAAAGTGACTCCTGCATTCTCCACCAGACTCAAAATCCCATTTATGTTGGCAACATATCTACTGTAATGGAGTAACAGAACTGCAGTCGTGGTGACACATGGGAATAGGGGTGCATGAAGGAGCCAGGTCAGGAATGACAGGCTGCTCTGTCTCAGTGAGGGGATGGTTTGCCAGCAAGGACTGTATTGTTTCCTTCATCTTAAAAGTGAGTATGAGTACATTTTATTGACTCAACAAAATAATAAACATCAAGGGCTATTTGTATATTTTGTATATTTTTTGTATATTTTTGTATATTTTTTGTATATTTTGTATATACAGTTTTGTGTATTTTTTTAAAAGATATCCCACTCACTAATTACTTTTTTAAAATTTTACTTTTAAAAATCAGGAAAAAAAAAAAAAAAGCAAAGTTGGCCAGAAATAGTGGCTCACGCCTGTAATTCCCGGCACTTTGGGAGGCCAAGGTGGGAGGATCACTTGAGGCCAGGAGTTTGAGACCCGTCTGGGCAACATAGTGAGACCACATCTCTACATTTTTTTTTGTTTGGTTTTTTGCTGGGCATGGTGGTGCATGCCTGTAGTCTCAGCTACTTGAGAGGCTGAGGTGGGACGATCACTTGAGCCCAGGAGGTTGAGGCTGCAGTGAGCCATGATTGTGCCACTGTACTTCAGCCTGGGTGACAGGTAAGACCCTGTCTCAAAATAAAAAAACAAAAAGAAGAAGCAAAGTTATATGTATCTTAAATATTATAGGAGCACACAATGTGGAAAGTGTAAGTATCCCATAACCCTACCCCGTAAAGAGAACCCACCATGATCTGCAGTTTAGGACCTATTTCTCTAAATTTTTTCCTTGCGTTTAAAACATACGGTGATGCTCAATTTCATTAACAAAAAATGAAATACAAAGTAAACAAAAAAGAGCATTCCCCCCTTTAGCTCCTAAAGATAAAACAAAAATGTAAAAAGAGTAGTTATATCCACGTTGGTGGCCACATAGCAAAATGGGTATTCTCATACAATGTTGGTAGGAATATAAATTGGTTCAAGTTGAACATGTCAAGCCTGAAAATCGGAAATGCTCCAAAATCCAAAAATGTTTAAGTGCCAACATGATGCTCAAAGGAAATGCTTATTGGAGCACTGTAGATTTTGGATTTTGGAATTTGATACGCTCAAAGTATAGTACAACTATTCCCAAACCCCCCAGAATTCAAAATCTGAAAACTTCTGATTCTAAGCATTTCAAATTAAAGGATACTCAACCCGTATAATCTACTTAGAGGGCAATTTGTCAGTAATGATCAAAATTTTATGTATGACACATGTCATGTGCATTTCCTCTGTTGACTTTAGAAAAAGAGGAATGTTGATAGCTGTTTTATGATAATGTTACTAGCAATAGTGATCGTGGTAGTGGCAGGAATACTGCTGGTTGTGCTGCTTGTGATAGTGGTACTGGTGGTACGGCTGGCAGTGCTGGTGGTACTGCTGCTGCTGGTGATGGTACTGCTGGTGGTGGTGGTACTACTGGCAGTGCTGATACTGTACCACTGATAGCACTGGTGCTGGTGGTACTGGTGGTGCTGGTGATTTGAGCATTTGCTGCCTTCTACTATGTGATGAAGCTTAACGAAGTCACACCCAAGTCTGCTTTGTACCCAGAACAGTGCCAGGGGGCAGTGTGGGTCAAAGCACTTCTTTTGATTCTCTCATAACATAGGCAGAAAGATAAGCTTCCCAGGAGGAAAGAGTTTTACCATTGCCCCTCATAAGGTGGAAATAGCTGGTGTCCATTCAAGCCCCTGCTCACACATTCAGAAGGCACTTCGTAGGAACTCCCTCCCCTCCTTTGCTTCTGAGTCCCAGACCAGCAGTGAGATTCTGCCCTTTGAAATATTTATAACATTCAATTCACCATAAAACACTTTGTAAATGTAAGTGCTGTAAGTGGCACAAATTATATCAGTAGCTTTTTGAGAAATGAGGGGAAAAGGAAAATGAATTTAAGGGAATGGGATCCAGTGAGCCAACCTTGCTATTTTCAAACCATAATAAAAGGCCGTAGATCTGCATTTTGTAATTTCAGAAATGACTAATGCTTGGACTATTTTTGAGCATTGTAAGAGTGGCTTCATCCCAGTATAAATCGTTCTTTCTACATTGCACAGATTATGTTGCTTTTTAAATCAATATTTTTATTTCATAGTAATTTTGTTTCCAGGTCTAAAAATCCTGAAATTCCTTTCTTAAGGGGGTCCCTTTGTATCAGCCACTGAGGAAGTCATTGACACCTAACTGGCTTCTCCCAGCACCCACTACGTAGGCTACCCTCTCCCCAGTCCTGCAGGAGAGGCCCCTTGCTCACAAATGCACAGGGGCCAGAATTTTTCATTGTTGGAAATTCTCCTCACCTTGTGTAGATACTATCTCCATCCAATCATCACTCCTTTGTTCTGCTGTTTGGAGCCCCCAGAATAAATCTACTTTTTGTATCCTTCATGTATTGAGGATGGTCACGCCCCTACCCCCACCCTCAAATGATTTCTTCCTCATTGGACAGGATTCCTGGATGTCACCCTCCTGGTTACCTACTCCACTAGGTAGACTAGTACACAGACCATCTATTCTCCTGAGTCTCCACCACCTTGTTCATAATACTGTATTTCTGATAATGAATCCTAAAATTAAGTTTGTTAATTTGTTTTTGGCACCCATATCACACCAGTGTCTCATATTGATTTATAAACAAACCAAAACTCCAGACCAGTTGCTTTTTGAGCCTAAGTGCAAGATGTAACATGCTTCTCTGAAATGTTGTCTTTTTTCCTTTGGGCTCATTCTTTCCAGATCCAGATATCTTTTGGAATTCTGATTCTGTCCAGTGGGTCTTATCTAAAGCATTCATCTCTCCTAGCACGGTGTCCTTGGATGACTTGAAAAGCCTGCCTGGTAGATTGCTGATGTATTTACCTAGGCCCAGGACTCTGAAGAGGGTGACAAATCCCTCATAACGAGTTAGCCAAATGCATGCTGGCAGCCAACGGACTCAAGGCTCCTTAGAGAAGGCAGAAGGGTCTGGCTGTCAGAGGGTGCCACAGCTGCTGGGGTGGAGAATCTGCTGGGGTGGAGGATTGGAGGAGTTTTGGTTTGGCCATTGACATGTAAATGTCAGAGGGGCCTGAGGCTGTTCCCCAGTGGACCCTCCCGCTTTCCCACACAAAGCCCTGGTTCTGTGAGGGCCACAGCTTTGCCTTTGTGAGGCCCAGGCTGTCCCAGCTGCAGAGGGAAGTCCCTGTAAGTATTCACTCTTGTAAAACTGTTCCATTTTACACTGTGGTTGTCGACAGCAAGGTTCTCCCAGCTGCATGGAGTGGGAGTGTTCTCTTTGTAATACGCTCTTTTCTGGATATAGACATAGGTCCTTTAAAGGTTTTTGAAATGAAAATGAATACTACTAGGTGATTATTAATTTGAATCATGTAAGGAGAGAAAGAGTGATATATTTTTGCACATGTATGTGCATTTACAAGAACAAGATTAGCTACGAGGTTCAAAGTACTTTTTGAATTTTACCTGATATTTCTGAAGGATAATGTTATTTTTGGCATTGTGTTTTCTATAGTCCTCCTCTCTCTCTCTCTCTCTCTCTCTTTAACCTATTTTGAGACAGAGTCTCACTCTGTTGCCCAGGCTAGAGTGCAGTGGTGCAATCTTGGCTCATTCCAACCTCTGTCAAACGCTTCTCATGCCTCAGCGTCCTGGGTATCTGGGATTACAGGTGTGTCCACCACCGTGCCCTGCTAATTTTTGTATTTTTAGTAGAGACGGGGTTTTACATGTTGGCCAGGCTGATTTTGAACTCCTGACCTCAGGTGATCCGTCCGCCTCGGCCTCCCAAAGTGCTGGGGTTACAGACGTGAACCACCGCGCCTGGCCAAGAATGAATATTTTGAAATGTTTTTTCTTTTTTCCTCTGAAACTTCAGTGTCCTAAATTCAATATGTGAATTGTGAAATATGTGATGCTCTTACCACAAGGTAGAGGATATATGTCTTTGTCATGCTGTGGGCTTATTTTTTTATAAGTCCTTTACTCACTGGCCAGCGATTATTTAAAATACAAATTTAGATTTCATGTTCAGAATTTGGAGTACTGGATTGAGTAAGAGGAATATCTTGATCTTAAAAAATCTTGAGGTAAAATGTTTTGTTTGGTAAAGTTTTCCCACATAGGACTCACTTCCTTCACTGCTTACAGAAATGGCGCTTTTAAAGAAAACATTTTCTTAATAAAATACAAATGTTTTCAGATCTCTGCCTCTTTGGTACAGATGCCTTTTGCAATATGAGTTCAGTCCACAGTGTGCATCTTTAAGCCTTGAATATTCAGATACGTTTTTGCTCTTTTAAAAGTAATTACAGTAATAGAATTTATGTTTACATACCAGAATATCCATAATGAGATTGGAAAAAAAAGTTCAAGCAATCAGTCTTCTGTCCAGAAGCCATAAAGTCTGTTATTGAATGTGAAATCTATTCTTAATTTTTAAGTGTCTCTTGCTCTAATGAACTTAATTAGTGGAGTTTGGTACAGTGGAAAGAATACCAAACAAAGCGTTTTGAGACCTGGGCTTTGTCTCTAGCTACCTAGGTGGCCTTAGGTGAATGACTTATGGACCTCAGTGATGGACTGTATCAGTGGTTCTCAACCCAGGGGCCCTTGGAAATGTTGAGTGGGAACATGTCAGGTTGCCACACTGTGTGGGAGCACTAATGGTTTGGGGACCCTGGATGTTAGGCATCTTGAAATGCCCCAGGCTGTCTCACCCAGCCCTTTGAAGAATTGGCTCACTCCGAATATCAATGACACCCCCATGAGTAACACTGGACTGGATGATTACTTAAGTTTTTCCTGCTTTGTTACTGTCAAGTTCGTAAATGGAGTATTGGCAAGCATCTAAAATGATGTGATGCCAATACGCTCAGTGTCTGTGTCTCACATTTAGCATTGAACGCTATGTTTTCTGGGGTGAAGTTATATCCGGTAATGCTGGGTCAGGACACTTGGCTGTGGCAACTCAGATTCAGAGCTTTGTTGCTGGGAGAAATCTCTACTGTAAGCACAGAAAATACTGATATGGCTCAAAAGCAGGTGCAGAGCTGGGGCTGGGATTTTTGGTTGCCTTTGGATTTTCCTTATATTCTTTCCTCAAAGGGAAGCAGTGGGTTTGTGGCCACATGCTTGCCCCCAGGCCCTGGGCTTTTCTGCTATAAACAAAGGGCAGCTGCCTCTTCACACTGTTCTGCTGCTGTCCCATCTGTTGAGAAAGGGGTTACTCCGGAGCCTCCGGTGCTGCCCTGCAAACCCAAATCCGGCTGCCTGTTGTCACGGGCCAGACTGCAGGAACCATGTAGACAACTCTGACGAGGCAGAAGGGGATTTGGTCTGGAAAAAAGATTCCTGGGGTGTCTAAATTTTTTGGTAGGTTGGCATGATTGAATTACTCCTTATTTGATGGTGAAGTGCTGTTAAATGAAAGTCCAACAGGAAATCATCTCTCTGAATTGTCGTTTTGTAGAAAGCAAAGGTGAGTTATTACTAATCCTCACCAGAAATTTGCTGTGATGTTTGTGCATATATACAACTCTTAATAGCTACACTGTTCTATTACCTGAAGCATACATTTTAATTAATGTGTTATTTTCCCTATAAAAATAATTTATTTAAAGAAAATTCAAATAAGAAAAATATCAGTAGTAACTACATTTGATACGTATCCTGCCAGTCTTTAAAACATTTTACAAAAATGGGGTCATAATGTATGACATTTTACAACCTACTTTGTTGACTTTGTAATACATCATGTATTGTTTCTGAGATATATAGTCATGTGCCACATAACGACTTTTTAGCCAGTGACAGACCATCTATACGAAGGTGGACCCAAAAGATTACGATAGAGCTTATATAGAAACCTGATGTATGGCACTTGAGATTGGCATTGCAGATCAAGTAGCAGAAATGATTGATATTCAGTAATGCTGCTGGGACATTTGATTATATATATATGAAAAAATTATATAAATAAAAATATATATATACCATCTAGGTTTGTGCAAGTACACTCTATGATGTTTTCACATGACAAAATCACCTAACAGTACATTTCTCAGAACGTATCCATGTTTGTAACATGATTGTATTATAGAATTTTACAATTACAAGACTTCTGTCTTAGTTCAGGCTGCTATAACAAAATATCGTAGATGGGTGGCTTAAACAATCAGAAATTTATTTCTGACAGTTCTGAGAGCTGGGACCATTCGAGATTAGGGTGTCAGCATGGATTAGTTCTTTTTTAAAATTTTTAAAATACATTTTAATTTTTTTATTATACTTTAAGTTCTAGGGTACATGTGCACAATGTACAGGTTTTTTACATATGTATACATGGTTG